GGTGTCCCTTCGCCTGCCCCCGGCGCCCGCCGCAAACAGCCCTAGTCAAGAGCCGGGGGTGGGGTTCCGGGCCGCTTCTACGCCGGCGTTCCGCATGGGGCCAAGAGTAAAAGCATTTATTTTATTTTAATTTTTAAACAACTTTTCGTGGATTTGGGATCTCGCTATATTGCTCAGGCTGATCTTGAACTTTTGGCCTCAAGAGATCCTCCCACCTCGACCTCTCAAAGTGCTGGGATTACAGGTGTGAGCCATCGTGCCAGACCAGGAGTACACGCATTTATTGGCCTAAACTCAGCACCGGGCCCGGGACTAGGCATCACCTGGGCTGACAGAGAGATGAGGGAAGACCTTGTTTCCATTAATTTCACAATCTTCTGCCCTCTCTGCACACATTGTTTAAAAAATCTATAAAAATGCAGATTCCCACATCCCATCCCACAGCTTCCAATACGGACACTTCAGAGCAGGGGCTCAGAATGTGCACTTCGGCAGGAGTCCCAGATGAGACAGGAGCGGGGGGTTTGCACCACCTGAGCAAATACCTGCTCGCTGGACCGGCTGCCCCTGCACAGTGGGCGCAGGTGAAGCCAGAGCGGTGTCTGGAGCTCACCTGTGTCGGAATCCCCTCGCAGGTGCCCACTGTTTGTGTGCACGCTCCTGGGAGTTGGGATTCAGGAGTCGGGGGAAGACAAAGCTGAATTTCATCCAGGGCCAGGTGATTTTGATGGGGTGGCCATGGCCGGAAAAGCTTCCTGGAGGTGAAGCGCTATCCTACGACTGCAGGCGAATTTAAAACCCTGATGATTAGGCCCCGAGAAAAGTCACAGGAGACACGAGGAGTCCGGGGTTTGGAATTCCAGCACGAAAGCCGCCCCTGCCCCCCGCCCCCTCCCCCAGCTAACCAGGTGCCCTCCCCTCCGACCTCCCTGAAGCCCCAGGAAGGTGAAATAAAGCCCTAAAGCTCACAGGGCTGCTCACAAAGCTGTGTCTGTTGTGTATCTGCCTTGGAAGTTGTCCTTTACAGACCTGGAGTTCTCGCTGAGTTACCTTCATGTGTGAAGACACATCCTCTTGGCCAGGCACGCCTGTCGTCCCAGCACTTTGGGAGGCAGAGGCAGAAGGATCACTTGAGGCCAGGAGTTTGAGATCAGCCTGGGCAACATGCCAAGACCCCATCTCTATTAAAACAAATAAAAATAAAAACAAAAGAGAAAAGACAAATATGCTTGAAGAGAAGAAATAAAAGGTCACTCTGGATGCTGTGTGACCAAGGGCAAGTGACCACTCTGAACCCCTGTCTCTGCATCTTCAAAATGAAGTAGGAAGAGAAGGAGCCTGCAGTGTTCAGGGAGGAGGGGGAGCTGTGGGCCACCTGGCCCCTCCTGAAACAGAAGCTCCCTGAGGCGGCTGCAGACATATGTACCAGCCTGTCCCGGTTTTGATTGATGGGGAATGTTTTCTTCACTGGCAAATATTTGTGTTCCAAAGCTGACGAGGGTTTACTTCCTAATTTGTCTAGCCTATAAAAGAGCAGAGGAAAAGATGAGAAAGCCGAGGTTCAGAGAGGCTGCTGTGGGGTGGGTAGGAGGGCGACCGGAGCCTGGCTGTCCAGGAGCCTCGGTGTCCTTATCTGTAAAATGGGGCCAGGGCTGCCGCTAGCCTCGCCGGGCTTTGGAAAGAACAGGATGGGAAAGTGTGCAGCTTTACAGATTGCAAGAGTGTGCTCTCCTGATGCCTCAAGCCTGAGTGTGTGAGAATCACTTGGTGGACTTGTGTCTTTCCCTTCATAGCAGCATGATTCATAGTAGTCAAAATGTGTGAACAGCCCAGTGGCCGCCCACTGATGTCTGGATAAACAAAACGGTGCCTATTCATACGCTGGAGTAGTAATCGGCTGCAAATCTTAACGAAGTCCTGGTACACACTACAACGTGGATGAACCTCAAAAACGTGATACCAGCAGTGGCTCACACCTGTAATCCCAGCACTTTGGGAGGCTGAGATGAGAGGATCACTGGAGCCCAGGAGTTTGAAACCAGCCTAGGCAACATAGTGAGATACCATCTCCATATTAAAAAAAAAAAAAAAAAAAAAAGGCGGGACGTGGTGGCTCATGCCTGTAATTCCAGCACTTTGGAAGGCCAAGACGGGAGGATCACGAGGTCAGGAGTTCAAGACCAACCTGGCCAATATGGTGAAACCCTGTCTCTACTAAAATACAAAAATTAGCCAGGTGTGGTGGCACACACCTGTAGTCCTAGCTACTCGGGAGGCTGAGGCAGGAGAATCACTTGAACCTAGGAGGTGGAGGTTTCAGTGAGCCAAGATTATGCCACTGCACTCCAGCACTCTGTCTCAAAAGAAAAAAAAAAAGTCCAGCACACTGACACAGACACACACCTGTACTGTAGTCCCAGCTACTAAGAAGGCTGAGGTGAAAGGATTGCTTCAGCCTCGGAAGTGGAGGCTGCAGTGAACCGTGATTGCACTACTGTACTCCAGCTTGGTTGACAGAGCGAGACTCAGTCTCAAACAAAACAAAACGTTATGCTAAGTGAAATAAGTCAGACACAAAAGTCCACATATTATATGATTCCATTCCTATGAAATGTCCAAAATAGGTAGATCCATAGAAACAGAAAGTGAATTAGTGGTTGCCAGGGGCTGGAGGAGGGAGAATGAGGAGTTAGGGGTACAAGGTTTCTTTCTGGGGTGACAGAAATGTTCTGGAATTAGATAGTGGTGATCGTTGCACAAATCTGTAAATATACTAAAAACCACTGAATTGTACACTTTAAAAGGGGGAACTTTATAGTATGTGAATTATGCCTCAATAAAGCTGTTTTGTTTGTTTTTTAATTAATTATTTATTTTATTTTATTTTATTTTGAGACAGAGTCTCGCTCTGTCGCCCAGGCTGGAGTGCAGTGGCGGGATCTTGGCTCACTGCAAGCTCCGCCTCCCGGGTTCACGCCATTCACCTGCCTCAGGCTCCTGAGTAGCTGGGACTACAGGCGCCCGCCACCACGCCCGGCTAATTTTTTGTATTTTTAGTAGAGAAAAGGCAGAAGGATCACTTGAGGCCAGGAGTTTGAGATCAGCCTAGGCAACATGCCAAGACTCCATCTCTACGGTTTCACAGTGTTAGCCAGGATGGTCTTGATCTCCTGATGTCGTGATCCGCCCGCCTTGGCCTCCCAAAGTGCTGGGAGTACAGGCATGAGCCATTGTGCCCGGCTTGTTTTTTAATTTTTGAGATGGGGTCTGTCACCCAGACTGGAGTGCAGTGGTACAATCTCAGCTTACTGCAGCCCCTGCCTCCTAGGCTCGAATCATCCTCCCACCTCGTCCTCCTAAGTAGCTGGGACTACAGATGTGCCACCACGCTCAGTTAGTTTTTGTATTTTTTGTTTTTGGTAGAGACAGGTTTTTGCCATGTTGCCCAGACTGGTCTCAAGGAACCCTTGGACTCCAGCAATCCACCCACCTTGGCCTCCCAAAGTGCTGGGATTTGAGGCATGAACCACCACACCCAGCCTATAAAGTTGTTTTGAAAAATGCCCCTAAGCCTCAGGCTCAGACTTTCTGATTGACAAATCTGGAGTAGGCCCAGGTACACAGCACACTCAAGAAGCTCCCAAGAGATTTTTATGATTGAAAATACCGGTGAAGTGATTTGCCCTAATCTGGTCTAGCTCTGAGCCACTCCCAGCACCCAGCTGAATGCCAGTCCTCCCACCTGGCCTCAGGGTGGGGGAAACAGAGTCAACAGACAGAAGGAAACCAAAGGAGAGGGGAAGAGGGCAGTGGTGGAGGTGGGGCTGCTACTTAAGATGGGGAGGTCAGGGGCCTCCCAGCATCATTTTCTGTTGTGTAAAATGCCTCCCCTAGAAAACTGGA